AGACGTTTTTATATCGTTATATCGAACAGCCCTGTTCTGTGTTTACTCTCGTTAGCAGCAGGTGAGCTAGCGTAGCAGCATGCTAACAGCGTGAACGGTGGGCCGTTATGTATTTATCTGTCACTCGGTGAGTTAAAAATCACTTTTATTGCGAGCGAGTGACGGACCTGCCAGCAGAGGGCGCTTTAACCCCTTATCAGCCAGTTTCATAACCTGAAACAGTTCCTGTCCTGTAACAACGGCCCGTGTTTTAGATTTTACCTTCGGCTTTTATTCAGATTATGTTCTGGTGTCATGAAGCTCACTCAGACATTTTAGGACTTTCCAGAACTTTAAGTAAATCTATTTAGAGCGTTGGCAGCGATGAGCTGTCTTCGTGCTCGATCAGTTTCTGGGACAAATCCTGGCTGATGGAGATTTTTCCCGGATCGTCAGTTTGTGGGCTTCTGCTTTTTAAACACTGACCGCAGATCCCGGATCAGAGCGACTGGCGGTTGGAAGAATCCGGTCTTTAAAAAATAAAAGCTCACAAAGCAGAAACCGCAGAATTAGACGTGAAGCCTGCAGCGAGTGTTTCAGCCGCTGTAGGCGGCGCTCGCTCTGCCTCCCGGCGAGGAAACTTTAGACTCGGAACACCTGAAGCCAGTTTTTCGTGGGTGAAGCGCCGGATCGGTGCGTCCCTGCTGCCGTCAGCAGATTTACGGATTCATGTGAACAACAGGAAACTGGTGAAGCTGTCGGTCAGACAGCGGCTGACCAATCAGAGCAGAGGATGTGACTGAGCTGCTGTGAGTCTGTAGGTGTGATCAGAGCGAGCTGCAGCAGGAACTGAAAGTAAGACGCCGACGTGTGAAGACGTGGGCGAGCGACGGGAAACTGCAGAGGATGAAGAGCACGCTCCTCCTCGTCCTCCCGTCTTTGACACGGCGTCTCTCTAACAGGACTTGGCGGCGTTTGAAGGCAGCTACGTGGACATCGTTATTTATCTATTTATTTTCCTCGCGGGTCACTTCCTGCGTGGCGCTTTGTTTCTTCTGTTTCCATCACAAATATACCCGTCTGTTATCACAACTGTCTGCTTACTTTGCACTTCCTGAAACACCTCACTGAGCTGCCAGTTTGTTAGGTACGCCTCGACCTTAACGCTGTCGGGGAGGGCAGCCTATCAGGGCTCACCGCCGACACTGTGCCAGCATGGAAGCAGCTTAAGAGTCCTGAAGGGATGTGAAAGGAAAATAGTCTTTAGACTCATGAATGAGGCTGTTTGTGGACAGGAAGTTGACAGGTAGAGGTCGTGGTGCTCGGGTGGTTAAAGGTTAAATGTGGCTGTTAATAAACGAGGTAAAAAGACACACGTGGACCCTGACTCTGAAAACTACAAGTTTTATTTTGACTCAGTGAGGCTAAAAAAGTCGAAACAAAACAACCTGATGAGGTTACAGGTCAGGACATCACACGGTGTGCAGAGCACAGATGTGCCACCAGAGGGCAGTATATGCTGATGGGCAGGTAACCATGATGTTTAGTAAAGTAAGACACAGATCTGTGACATCACACTGAAGTGTTTTCTCCATCTTAGTGTTTTGGAAGTGGGCGGGGCTGTCTGTGATTGACAGGTCTCCGCCCCTGGTTTATTATTCAGACGTTCACTGAGCTCCGATCAGCTGAGCTCGTTTTCTCAGGTCAAGTCTCTCAAATCAGCGATCCTGGTAAAACTCCTGAGACCCGCCTGAGCTCTTCAAATGTAAAAATAATATATAAAAGTATAAAAAACTGCCTCCACCTGTGAGACTGTTAAACTATCAGATCTGACCGATTTCAGGACGCAGCTTTTAACTCTGAGAGGAAAGTAACTGAGTTCATGACAAATACGATGTAGGTCAGCGAGTACAAACAGCTGCTCTGCTTTAGGATCAGATTTTAAAGCCTTTATTCAAACATTTCGTTCCACAATCTGTGAAAGTGAAAGTGTGCGTGCTCCTTGTTTCCTCAGTTATTCCCAACAGGACGAATGGAAAGGCTGATGAAAAACAGGAAACACAAGCGAGTGAATTTTTATCTGAATTATGCTGAAGCTGCCTGATAATGATCAGAGCTAGCACCTGCACAGCACACTCACCTGTCCACCGTGTTTACCTGAAGCTCACAGGAACCAGGAGTTCATGTCTGCACCAGGTTGGCCATCACATCGTACAGTCTATTTATTATAGTTTCAGTGTTTCTGCTGAAACCGCCGTCAGCGCATCGGCTCATCAGCGCGTCGGCTCATCAGCGCGTCGGCTCATCAGCGCGATGTACAGAGGCTGAGAAGTCCTGAAGTCCCGCCTCTCAGGAGACCGTCGTGCCGACTCGCTGTCGAGGCCTAACCTGCGCTGAAGACGGTCGCGTTCAAGACCAGGCATCAACAAAATCACCTACTGACCAATCAGATCGCTCCGAGTTCAGGTGTGAAAACTGTTTTGTTGGTCCAAAAGCATCAATGACATCAAACGCAGCATCTGTTTGTCGACGTCACGTTAAACCTGTGAGCAGATCTGTGTCGGTTCACTGAGCTGAGAAACTTGGAGCCATCTGTTTGATACCAGCTCCTCCTCCTCAGAGGAAGAGCTTCCCAGAACTAGAACGTGCTCTTCCTGGACTTCCTGGTTCCTGATGTTGAAACCCTTTCAGATTCTTCCCTCAGAGGTGAAGCTGCTTCCTGCAGCATCTATACAAACGCCACGTTAAACACAGTCCAGGTGTGTTGCTGTGCTTACCTGATGAGAGCTCTGCTGCGTTCAGGGCCCGTGGTAAATCTTCAGCCCTGTGTCAGATACAGATGAGGTGTTCACTGTAAATTGGACGTTTTGTTACTTTGAGTTTAGAATTTTAATTTAAACAAGTTTGGCTTCCAGTGATGTAATTGAGATAATTATTGATATATTATTGTCATATTCTCTGTTCAGCACTTCTGTCCTGTGGCAGCTCTCATTCGGTTCATTGATTCATTTCTTTTAGTTTTGTCGGCTGAATTATGAGTAAAGTTCATAAATACACAATTTTTCCAGATTCTTTGATAAACATGAGTTTTGCTATAAGAAAGCAGCCCTGCTTCAGCAGCTGATGTGAGTCAGAAGCTAAATCACAACATCTCTATAAAAATATGAGTTTGTAAAAGCCGGAGCTGTGAGGTGAGTTTGTGTTGCGTTTGCAGGTTCTTCACATTTATAAGCTGAAAAAGCTGCAAGTGTGGTTTCATTCATCCTGCTGCGAGGATGAACTCGGCTGACAGACGGCAGCGTTCGAGCTGCTGTTGCGCTTTCAGGCAGCAGGGGGCGGCGTGGCGCCAGCCGGGACAATCCCGGCGTGAGAACAGATCCACACTCACTCTCCAGTCTGCATTGCATTCCAAATTTATTGTTGCATCGTACATACAACACCTGATAGAAATGTAAGAACACCTGTAAAGCACGAGCTTAGTGTGTAAACAACGACATCGTATAGAAAGCCACATTCGTACATTCAGTCGTGCATAAAAGAAGACCAAAAACAGCGTAAACAGGAGAGTCTGGAACACGAGCGTCCCTGAAGGTCTCACTTCCATTAGAAAACAGGCAGGCGGAGTATAGAGATACAAAGAAGTATATCAACATATTGCATCATGCAACAACGAGGAAGAACCACTTGTATTGATAAATCGTCATCATCAGTCGACGGGATGCATTTTGTTTGTCACAGTCTTACTGGAGAGTGCAATAGAAGTGTGATGCGTGCGTTATGACTCATCAGAGAAGGAAACTGATTTGATCCCACACAGTTTTCATGTTGAGCCTGCTCTGGTTAGCGTCTTTAAACGATGTCAGGCACTCTGGTTTCTCCCCCTCACAGCTGGAGCTACAGCGTTAAAGGGGACCTATTATTGTCACATTACGCTCAGCTTTACATTTTTATTCTAGAGTAGCTTTGCATGATTCACAGTTTTTAAAAATTGTCTTTGTCAGAAACAAGCTACTGTCTCGTTAAGGTCCCCCTCCCTAAAAGCCCACTTTCTCCTGATTGGCCTCTTTCTGGAAGCATCCAGAGCTTCTGAGCTAATGATTGAGGATAACACGGTGTGTATTTGAGACTGTCGATCACATTCTCCGATAACCTGACCTCGTTTTAAAAGCAGCGCCGTGTGTACCAAATGTAGCTACATTTAGCTACATTGTAGCTACAATGTAGCTAAATGTAGCTACATTGTAGCTACCAAATGTAGCTACAATGTAGCTACAATGTAGCTACATTTAGCTACAATGTAGCTGCATTTAGCTACAATGTAGCTGCATGTAGCTGGACGCAGGCCCGTCTATTCCAGCTCGTTTCGCTCATTCAATAACGTTATTTGCTGTATCTGTCGTCCTGGTTGGAAAGTTGTTCCAAAAAATGAAAGTTGTGCTA